GATTCTATTCCTGTTGCAATCTTTATTCAACAGGCAGATGTATGTATGAATGTATGAATTGACCCATTTTAGTTATCAGCACAACATAAGTGTATTATGTATATTCTCAAGTATCCAATTTCAAGAACAGTGTAACAGCAGTTCAGAGTTTATATTTATACTTTGGGATTTCTCTCATGTTTGTTTCTTACAGTTACAAATGAACCAAGGTAAGGTTACAGTGAACCAAGAGTAACCATCATTTACCTACATACCTACTGTATCTGCTAGGGCCACCTAGAAAGATGAGGAATAAAGACTGGATTTGTCAAAGATCCTGGACAACTTCAGTGGGACACATGTCCCAGTGCCAAATAATGGCAGTGAATATCACAGAATATCAATTTACATGCACCTGAATTTGTAGAGATATATCCTATAGTAAATGTATTTTGTAGGAAAGTTACATTTATGGGCACTCCTGACTGCACCAGTCCAATTTTTGTTACTTGACTGCATGGTGCATGGGGGAGAGGTCTGATTCCCAAAAGCTGGGAAACGATATAGCCAACAAAGAATAATTGGAATGGCTGCTTACAAATCATGTTTGTTGTAACATGCATTGCTGGTCCCTCAGTTCATTGAGTGTTGAGGTGACACTCTGAGAGGTGATAATAAAGGAACCTGCACTATGCTTAGGGAAGTGATGGAAGGAAAATTAACATCTTAAATAGAATTTTGAATAGAGGGATCACAGAAAATACCTTAGAGACAAATACCTTCACCACCCATTTTTTTGTGTGTGGGTGAGGTTTTTTTCCCCTGTACATGTGAGGTTATATATGGGTCAGGGATTTACTACCTAAGTGTGTGTATAGAGCAGAGCCTCATGCTCATTACCAGTAGCAAGTACACACAGGTTGTTCAGTAATTCAGTGTATTTCAGGTTTGCTGTCAGAAGGCAAGATGAATACAGGTTTGGACTTATGGAACTCACCTTTAGATGCCAGCTGCTTTAGGTTCTCCTCCCTACCCTCTTGTTTAACTGAAACTATATATATAAACTTTGGTGGGATTAAACATAGGTTTTATTTGTATTTTTAGCATATTGGAAGAAAGGAGGTGTGGGGGTTTGGTTGATGCTACTTTATTCCTTGTTAATAATGGATGAAACACGCAGTCATGCCTGAGCGGTTGTGTTAAAATCTGAAGAGTATTACTCCTTTATAGAGATCCCAAATAACTGAAAACCCTCACAAAGCCCTTCTTTTTGAATTAACAGCATATTTAAAAGCATACTAAGGCTGTGTAGTTTGACTATTGATAATGAAGGGCTAAGAGAGCACTTAACAACTGTTATGTATTCAAGGCAGAGGCTATAGAGGCTCTCTTTAAATTCCCTAGTCAGAAGGGACAATAGAAGCTAACATAAGCTATTATTGTACAACAGGAGCTTTTTATTAGGTGTTTCTGATCCATTTCTGTGACACATTTTGAAATAATCCATCATAGAACAATAGTTCAGACCAAAACAAAGATAATGCTATTTCTATCTGAAAAGACCAATATTAAATTACACTTTTAGAGCAGCAAATCAAGAGCGGACACGGATTGCTTATGAGGATCTTTGATACCCTTGCAAATCTCCTTATTTGTTCATGAGAGATGCAGTTCTACAGTTTTCTTCGTGCATTGTCCCCTAAAATGTATGGGAATAATAGCTGTTGCAAAAGGTATGAAGGAAAACAGTGACCAGAATGATCAGAACTAACCCAGGGAGAAGACTGGGCTCCCCAGCTGGATGGGGAGAAGGAGAAAATGAAATAACAGTTATTGAATTTAATAAATAATGTAGCTTTTAGAGTAGGGTACTAACATAACAGTTTATAATAATATAGTCAAAATGGGACACAAATAGTATTAGTTTTTATTCACTTTCTCCTGTGGCTTTGTTTGGGTTTTGTTGTGGTAAATAGTATTATAGAATGTATGTACTGATACTTAGTTGTCTGTGCAGCATCACCAGTGTATTGATACTTCCACTTATGCTCTGCAGATTAGTTTATATGAGCCATGTAAATAACTGTACACAAAAACTTAGTTTTGAAAGTTTGAAAAAATTAGGAGAATGCATTTATTCAGATGTCTTGAAACCACTGGGAACCGAATTTTAAGTATTCTAAAAATATCAATGACTTCGCATAATTTTTTTTTTTTCCACAGCCCCGCATATTTTTAGAGTAATTATTTCTCAGAATAACCATAGTGCTTCAACAAAGGACCTAATCAAACAGTACATCCTTAATCGTGGACTGTAGGAGAAAACAGTGGAGGGAGAGAAAGATGAGTGGGAATAGGCTTTGATCTTGAAAAGTGTGGTTTTGTCCTCAGCCCGTGCGCCAGGGCTGAGAGGTGGATCTCTGCAGGGGTAGGGGCCTGGTGTGAGCTGCACATCCCAGGGACTGGAGATGATTCTTAAGGAGAAAACATCAGCCTGAAATATGCTGGGACAGATTGGGGAATTGAAGATGAACTCTTGTATGACTGAAATTTTATAAAGTTCATGGGCTCCATGGTATTATTAACAGTTTGAGCAGAAATGTTACAAACTTTATTTTAAAATCCCCTTTGTTCCATCATGCAAGAATTTAGTATTCTGGAGGAATTTTGGTTTTTTTCCATTGGGGAATTTATAAATTGTTTCTGTGTTCTGAGGTTTATCCAAGATCTTATTGTAAATAATTCAGTCTTCCCTCAGTTGTATTAATCACAATTTAAATATTTTTAATACTAAAATTAGATGCAGCAGAAATAATCTTTTCTTACAAAAGTAGATTAAAAAGTTCAATGTTTTTTCTAACAAAATCCAATAACAATGTTTTAGTTATCAGTATTAATTTTATGTAGAAATTCGAAGGCAGATTGTCAAAATATAATTACAAGGCTCTATGCAAGAAATTAAATACACTCTAGTAGCACAGATGAAAAAAGCATCTGTTTTGAAGTTCTTTCATTAAAAATTAGAAGACTAGAGTAGGGAAAATGAGGTTTGTTGAGATGAAATGTGAAAAAAATATAAGAATTGGAAAATACCTGTGGAGCATGGAGCGAGCAAAGTGTCATTTAGGATTTATGGTGAATAATGTAAACAAACTGTATTATTTGATTTCTAAAAGCCTTTTTTGTTTGTATATTTACTAATTATACTTGAAGTCATTATAGTTATCTGTTCTTAAAACCTAATGAAAATGACTCATTTTCCTAATGTGTTTCTCTCAGCTGGATGAGCCTCTGGGTCTTCAGCTCACTTTCATTTCCACCCTTCTGCAATAGCACAAGTTTTGAAGCATCTGTGGTGTTACATCCATTAATATTCCAATGTACACATTCCTGGTATTAAATGAGTGTGTGGATTGAGCCTGTTTATTTGGTAGTCTGAAAAGACTGCTTTTAATTAACATCTCAATGGGTTACATGTTCATTTGACAGCTTCCGTTTGTGGATTTTTTAGGAAGTTGAGAGGGATAGATATTGATGTAATCAAATATGTGCTGCCTTAAAGGGGGGGGGGGAGGTTGGAATTTAGCTTGTTTTAGCTTTTATTTTAGTAGTGAATGACTGAAAAAAGAAGCATAGTAACTAATGAGATTTCCAGTGGTCACAGTCTTAGCTAGATTGCATAAATGACAAGAATTATTTTTATTCAGTATTTCCAATATTTCTTCTTCAACTGACAGTTGCAAGCAATAATCAGAGAACTGGTAATGACAGAAAATGTTTTAAAAATATTTTTTTGAAAGAACTCTGCACTGGTAACTGAATGTAAGTTGAGAATTGCTCTTGTAATACTCAACTGAAAACCTACCTACCATTTGTAATGAATCTGGTCCTTCCAAACCTATTGGACTGAACACTGTGCAGTTGCGTTGTATGTCAATGCACAACTACTAAAGTTTCACAAATCTCCATGTAAATTTAATGCCTTTGAATTGTGTGATTCACAAATCCTGACAGCTTGAAGTATGTCAGGGGGTGTGTGTGTATAATTCTGTGTGTATATACAGATATATTTGCATATATCTGCAAAACCAGATGTTTCATATCCTGCTTTTCCTGACAGACTCTATTCCAGAAGTGCAGAAGTTTTTTTCCCCTTGTGAAAGTACAGTTGTTTCTACCTCTGATCAATGTTCAATCTGTATTCAGCTAAGACTGCTAAAATATAATTTTAAGAAAGACTAAGGCATTTTATTTAAAGTGATTTAAAAAACCCACAGGAAACAAGCCTAAACTTGTGACATTTGTTCAAAATGAGCATTGCAAAAATATTGGTTTAAATTGATTTGGTTATTACTTTTTTTTTTCTTTTAATTTTTTTCTTTTATTTGGTTTTGTTCTTAATCCTGAATCCCGCTTATTCCCTGGAAATGAGCTTATGTTTATGTATTTCTGAGCAAAAAATACTGAACTATATGTTGTTGTTATATATCAGTCATCACTTGCACCAGTGTTAATGCAAGTGATGTCACCGAGATCATTCCTGGTCTGTCCATGGGAGTGCTGTGGCCTGATTTCCCTGCAGTGTTGGCTCCAGGAGCCTCATTCCAGCCAGGACAGGGAGCTGAGGAAGCAGCAGCCAGGTGGGATGGGTGGGTGAGTGGGTGGGTGGATGCTCCCATGGGCAGCCGAATATCCAGGGAGACAGGGCTGAGAGGGAGAGAGAGCATGGGGCGAGGTCCTGAGGCACTGGGGGTGCTCAGAGAGGGCACCAGCTTCCCATGGGATAACAAGGGTGTTGGGATTCTGGAGCATGTCTGTGTTTTGCTTTTTTCCATTGTCAAATTGTACATGTTTGTTGGGGCTCTTTCTGCTTTGAAGTCAAAGGACAAAAAGCTCCCCTGCTTCACTGCACTGCTGTGACTTTCTCACTGGTTGTGACTTTATTTCTGTTTTGAGATGAAAACTGAGGTTTAGTTGAAGTGTTCCAAAACCAGATACCACTCTCTCTCTCTTTCTTGTAGGCAGGGTGCTGCTGTGCCAGGCAAACCAGGAGGGATCTCCCGTGTACAGTGCCCCCAGTTCACTAGTATACACATCCACAAGTAAGCTAGTGTTATGGCTCGTTTTTTGTTCTGTTTTGTGACAAAAGCACATTAATGTAACTTAAGCCCCCTGAAAATGTGAACTTTCCCAACAGCTTTTGTTGAAGCAAATGTGGTATTTATAAACATATATGTGAGTAATGTCAAGAGATAACTTGGTGTTTTTAGTTGCATTTTTATCATCAAGGTGTATCATATTAAAAAAAAGGAAAAAAATCACCTATATTGCAATGTTCTATAGAAATGGTCAAAAATTCTGCAGTAATAGTGATGATTTTTGGAATCCAGTACTGTTGCACGCTCTGCATTTTGTGTAGATGTTGTATTTCTTCTTCCATCCTGCTCACAATACACAAAAGGTCTTTTATCATGCAGACATTTGATTGTGTCAGGAAGCAAATAGATATGAAGCCTTTTTTTTTTCTTCTTTTTTTTTTTTCTTTTACAAAACGAACAACCTGTATGCAAGTGGGTATTTTGAGTTATAAAAAGCTACCCTAATAAAAATAGCAGAGACAAGCTGAAAGGATAGTTGCTGCCGTTAGCCGTTTTTCTACGCAAAACTTTGGAGTGGAGATGTGTCCTCTGAAATCCCAAAGCAGAAGCAGAACTGATTCTTCTCAGAGTATTTTAGATTGTGTTGGTGGTGCCAGTGATCCCATTTTGGCTCCTGGTCAGATAAGAAGCCTGTGACTGAATGCAGGAGCAGCAATTGCACTGGCTCTGTGCTCACAGCAGTGCTCTGGAAAGAAAATACTTTGTATTGTCTGATTCAACATTATCAGGTATGTTCTTTATGGAGGTTATATTCAGTCTAGAATGCAGTTCTACCCCTTTAGAGCTTATCTAGACTACTGAAATAATTAATTTATTTTTTCAATTAAAACCAGCAGTGAGGACAAAAGAGTTCCATAGTGATCATCTCTACACTCATGTCGTTCTCTTATGTCAAAACCTCTCAATGCCATCCCTAGAGCTCCTGCTTTTCCAGGATACATAGGGGATCCACTTTTAAATCAGCAGTCTGGGGTCTGCAAGTGCATAGTGAACTAACAAAATATATCAAGTATTTAAAATTAGAAATTAATTTATCGGTTCAATCTGCATTTGCTTTCAAGTGCTCCCAGAAATATTTTGTACTATGTTACCTTTCCCAAGCAATAAGTTTTTTTAAATCCTTGTAGCAACAGAGACACAAAGTACTTATTGTTTTAATCAGTGTTCCCTTTTGCATGTTTTTAGTGCACTGATCCTTTTAGACCAAAATACCAATCTTTGACTGAAATTTTTTTCCCAGAAAACGATCTTATTTTGGAGGAGAGGGGGCAGTGTTTGTTTTAAGTTTCTGAAAATTGCTTTAAAAAAAGCCCTTCATGAGTTTTCCCTGTTGCTCCTATTACATCACTGGTACATTTATTTGCGGAGTTGCTGTTTACATCACGTGGTATTCCCACTAGTATTAAATCCCTGGAGAGCAGCTGCAAGCTCACTGAGCTCTGTACTTCACTGTTTCCATTATGTCTCATGAGTCAATCCCTCTGAAAAATCTTATTTTGCAGTGGTGCTCCTCGAATAATGATATCCTAACAAACACCTGTTTGTTTTCAATTATGCCAAATTCATAAGTAAACAGACTTTGCCTATCTGCCTCCCACTGGGCAATGTGTAATGCACAGTTTCATAACAGACATTGCTGGTAGCCCTTGCAAAAGAAATTATTACACTTTTGTTGACTCTCTGCGCATGCAAGTCAGGATTTTTCTTTTATTATGTGTAGTATTTTATCTTGCCAAAATGCAGTTTCCCCTACAGGGTCACAACTCTTAATAATACAAAATTGCTACAATTACTAATGATTGTAATTAGGTTTTTTATTTCTCCTTATTACAAAACTTTCAATAAAAATGCAAAATAGTTTCATTTCTATAGGAAATTCTACCAGAAATGGAATAGAAATGAAGGTTGACTTTTGTCTCATTTCTTTTATTATTTTAAAGATCTTCCATATTCCATTTTTTTATGTACATTTGTAATATTGAAATTATAACTGCTAAGTCAACATTAGTGTCTAGGAGATGATTACTTGTACTACTATCATTCCAGGTAGACAACAATATCGCAGCTTTCATTTTTGAATAATTTGTTAATCATTTATTCCGTTACTGCTGATATTGTAACTGTGTGATATTTTAGAGCCACTTACAATGTAAAAATTAAGTGGTTTTAAATTTGTAATTGTTTTAATAGAAGGGAAAAGAGTCTGCTGAAATGATTTTAAATCCATCTGAGATATTCCGAGTTCATTAAATGCTACTGGCTTTAAGAATTTTCAGATATGTGGAAGAGGATAGTCCCTGTCTAACTGGACTGTTCATCTTTTGCTCCCAAGTTTTAAGGCATAAAGGACTCAAACTTGGTTGTAAGATGTATTTTTCTTAATTCTGGCTAGCTTTATTTCTCACTTAATGTTTTGGCTTTTAATTGTCCTGGTCACTTGTAGTCTCTGATGACTCTGAACACTTTTACGCCTTTGGCTCTCCAGAAAGCAGAGCACAAATCTCAGAGCTGCTCTTTCCCTTCTGATATTTCTCCGGGATATATTTCATGTCTCATACTGTACATTTCCCAGTACAGTGATTAGTTACACCTCTGAATATGTCAGGAGATGGAAACATGGCTCTGCTTCCTTCCATCACTTCTGGCCCTTCGTAGAAAACAGAAAGAAATGAGCTGTTTCTTCTGCAAGCAGTGGAACAAATCAGTAGCAATAGTCTCTCATGCCTCATCTGTTCTCTTATGCTGAAGAAGAAGATGGGACCTGGATCAGTTTTTCATTTGCACGTCTATTCTGGGAATAGATAATTTGTTATGTGGAAGGCAGAGTTTCAGCATGACAATGTGTTCACATTCCTTGATGGGACAGGTTCTTTCATTTACTGAGACAATCACAGGCAGAAAACTCCGGATCTCACCTTGGCTACCAGAGATTGCCATGGTATTGGCATCTTCAGGACAGGACTGATACAAGAGATTTCAGTTTAATCCTGCCTCATTATCTTAATGCAGGATGCAGGCAAGCGTTGAAGGAGTTATATCCAGCCAGGAATGATGAGAGGACATCAAATCCCTGTGAGTAAGCATTCCCTGGAAGCTTCCTGGAGGCCTGACTGTCTCTCTTTGCCCTCACTTCTTTAGACTAGTGCCTTCCACAGGAAATTTTAAGACCATGGAGAAATTTGTATCTCCCGGTAAATAAGAAATGTTACCAAGAATAATTTTAGAACTTGTCCAAATTGAAACCACACATATGAGCAGGATCCATGGGAAAAAGGAAGATTCAAGAGAAGAACAAAGTTCTGTCCCTGAATGTCTGTATCGCTGTCCTGCCAAGGACAGTAACGTAGCTGGGTATGTATGGTTCAAAAAAACCCAAAAATGCAAATCTGAACTTATGCAAGGACTTCTAAACACTGCTTTGTGCCTATTTTTCTGTAATATAGAAGTGCCTGAAAATGTGAATGAAGTAGAAATGAATGAGAGCCAAAGTGTGGGAAAGAAGGAAGACACGAAGTCGTGGAATTGTAGAATAATTCAGGTTGGAAGGACAAGGCTGCTCCAGGACCCCTCTGAGGACGGAGATGGCACAACATTCCTGGGTTATCTGTTCCAACACTTGAATGTCCTAAAGTGGAAACCTCTCTTCTTGCAAGTCGTGTTTGCAGTCTCATCTTCCCAGCACGTGAAGAGCCTTGATCACCTCCCTACCTCTTCTCTACGAGGGCATGGAAAAGGAGATGCCAATGGAAATCTTTGTGATCTGGACTAACTAAGGAGTGTTCCTGGGCTCACTAAGCCTGACCACTGGTGGAGTGAGGCAGCCCCAGCCTAAAGCTGCGCATCACATCTCTCAGAAATGTCCAGTTGTGCATCACCCAGGTCCCACCAAAGGCAATGGGAGCGAGATGGAATTTAGAATTTAAAGGGAAGTTCAAAGGCAGCTAAATATTTTTTACTTTCTAAATCAGAGCTTTGATCTTTGAAACTTTTAGGCTTTATTTTAGCTCCAAGTAAGCATAAAGATTCTTGAGTTAGCAGGTATGTAGCTACTAGTGGATTTTCATGAGCATGTATTAAAAGGGACTGTTCACTGGACTGATTAGCTGACAGGTATGATAAAATAATTTAGGTTTCTACATGACTTTATTCAGAATGATGTGCAGATGAATGCCTCTATTTCTCAAATGTTTAGCAGGCCCATAAAAGAGAATTTTGTCTTGACTTAAGTGAGTACATTTTAAACTGAAGTCAGTTTTGGCTTAGATTTTCTAAATGTTAGACTTGTTTCATCTTCAGTAAGCATGCTCATCAGCTCCTAAATAAATCTTTCATACTGCAATCAACTGATGGAATTAAAAAAAGAAAAATATTAAAATGCAGAAATCCGATATTAATTCATTTTAATCTATCATACTCAAGGGCAAATGAAGTTGATGGCCCATTTTTTAATTGATATATTGATTAAAATTTTGGAAGAAGTGGTGCTAGAATTCAGCAAAAATGATTGAGGTGGTACAAATGCTTATAAATCTGTCCCACATTGTTCGTGTTCTTTAATTGTAATTGTCTGATAAAACTTCCATCGGTTTCTGTAATTAACCTAATGGTCTAAATGAATTTCCAGATCACTGGTTATTCATTTCAATATAGAAAATGCCATTACAATGAGTTTAATTAATACAAAGTAAGTTCACAGTCCATTGTATCATTAGAATAGAATTATATTGTTTTAACTGTTTAAATTAGGAACATTTTTTCCTCTCATCTTGTTTGTCCCATTTATGGACTTGAGCATTCATTTTCTATTCACGCTTTATAATTAAAATATTTAAAACCCAATGCTCTTCAAGCCTCAAAATACCAGTGTAGATTTTTTTTTTTTGTATTTATCGTTTCAACTATTTTTAAACAGAATTCAGTCAGTGCCAAGCTCATAATCCCCA